GACCCCCCGCCGCCAGCACCCCCTACGCGCCGGCCCTGCCACTTCCGCAACCTGGACCAGATGGTGAGGGGCTCTGCACACGCCCTCAAGGCGCCCCTCCTATGCCCCGGCCTCCCTCCCCCATCCCACTCCAGCCCCCTCTGAGCCACCCCTCCTTGAGCTCCAGTCCCCACCCTGACACCATTCATGTGTGGCTTTGAGTAAGTCGTGTTCCCCTCTGAGCACGATCCCTAACCACATGTAGTAACGGTGATACCACTCATTCTGCTTTTATTACCAGCCCAGCACTCCACACCTCTCTCAGTTAACTGCGGTGGAACAAACGGTTTTTAGGAATAGACTCTGGCACCTTGGTTCAAAGTCTTAGTTCCCTTGCTTCATGGCTATGTGACTTTGGGCAAATTATTTAGCCTCTCTGTGCCTCAGTTCCCTTATCAGTAGCATGGGGACCGTAACAGCACCTACCTTCTATGACGGCTGTGAGTATGAAATAAGCCAGCACTGGAAGTGCTTGGAAGAGCATCTGCACAGAGGGGGCTCTTCATAGGTGTTAGCTCTTACTGTGATCAACCCCATTTGTACCACTGGGCAAAGTGGGGCTCAAGGAGGTTTGTTAACTGAAGGCCTATGTTGCAATGGATGAAGGACCCTGCCCCAAGCCTGTCAGATCCACGGTCCCCCTACTTAACCATTACACTCCCTCCCTCATCGGCTGACCCACAAGGGCGTTGGACCCGAGGCGACTGCTCCAGGTCTTGTTCTCATGGAAAGTCTTCCCTTTCTACTTGCTTCTCAGCCCACAGCCTTGATCTCAGCAGAAACCTTTGGGGTGGCTCTGGGGGCAGGCAGTCCCTGCATTTAGCTTGACCCACCATGAAGGGGAACTTGGGCACCTGGGCAGAGCGGAGAGCTGAGCCCACTGCCCTCCATCTGCAGGTGCAGAGCCTTGTGAGCCACTGCACATGCCCGGTGCAGTTCTCCATGGTCAAGGTGTCTGAGGGGAAGTACCAAGTGGGAGACTCCAACACCCTCATCTTCATCCGGGTAAGTCCAGGCCCCCAGGATCAGCAGAATAGGGTTTTTTTCCTTGGGACCTTGCCCAGGCCTGAGGGCAAGAACAGGAAGCCTTGGGGCTCTCCTTTTCTCCCATGGAAAATTCCAGGAGATTCTGGCAAAGTTGGCAAGACTATCCTCTCTGCCCATCAGGCAGCCAGAACCACTGCCCTCCATCACCTCCACCTTAACCTAGTTTAGAGGGTGTCCTCAGGCAGAAGTTGGGTAGGGAGAAGGGTACTCCCACTTCTCCATTCCAGTCCACTCCACCCACAGGCTTGGTCAGATCAAAGAGCCTGAGAACCCGAAGTTTGTGTTCAGTGCTTGGACCCTATAGTCTACCCCTCATATGCTTGGCTCAGTACATCCTGCAGAATGAACAGTACTACAGGTCTAAAATGCGCATCTCCCCTCCACCCACCCAGTACCTGGTCATGCCTCACTAGAAATGGTCTGTACCCAGGAGACCAGCAGCTGTGGGGCATGGCCAAGCCCTTTCCTTGGGCACAGGCTACACCTGGAAGCAGAGCCACCTCCCTGAGCCATCACCCAGACCCTGAGGCAATAGCACTGTGAAATAGGTAGGGGCAAGAAATTGTGGCCCCGCTTTTCTTTTTTTGTTTTTAACCTTTGACCTTGGTGTTCTCAGCACCATGCTCTCCCAAGTGAGCTAACGGGCCAGCCCTGGCTCCACTTTTTGACTGAGGAGATTGAAGACTGGAGAAACAATGTCACCTGCCCAGAGTGGAGTGGGGCTGGGACTCCCAGGGGCTCTTTCACATACACCATGGAAGCAAGCCAGCGGTATGAGGGTTGCATCTCAGGTGCAAGCATGTGCAGGAGGCAAACCCTCTACCGTGAAGGGAGTGCTCTGGGGCCAGGCTACACAATGCCTGTGAAATCCCTTGTAGGGTTGTGGGGCAACTTTCTGTTTGCCAGCCTGGCTCTCATCCTTGACAATGTGTGTTATCTGATGCTAGTTATGGAGGGGACTCAGCCTCCAAAATATGCAGGCTGCCAACCACACACGTGTACAAAGGAGTACCTTTGTGTGCAAGAGCACGTGGAAGAGAGTATCCCTGAGTGCGTGCCATGCTGGCAGCCTACAAGCTGGGCCAGGAAGAGGGGACGCCCTCCACCTAGCCCTCAACCTCACCTTTGCCCCCTCAGATCCTCCGGAACCATGTGATGGTGCGTGTGGGGGGCGGCTGGGACACACTTGGCCATTATCTGGACAAACACGACCCCTGCCGATGCACGTCTCTCTGTGAGTCCCCTGAGAGTCCCCTCCCTGTGGGGCTGGTTGGAGAGGCATAGCTGTGGGTTGGGAGGCTGGAAGCAGCGGTGGGATGTAGGTCTGATCTCCAGGGGTGAGAGGTGTACAGGGAGGGGCGGGGAGGATGGAGGAAGGAATACCCCGTAGCTGGGCAGTCATGATGTAGTACTAACTATTGCCACAAGATGGTGTGCAACACAAGCAGAATCAGCATACGTTCAGGGTGCCTCTTGGCAGAGTTAGGTCTGGCTCTGGGGCTCACAGTGATGGCACCAAGCATGACTTGGAAGGTCTTTAGCCTCCATCAACACCCCAAGCCACCCCAAATAAGCATTCATTCTAATTAAAAGTTGTGGACCTGCAATACAAATGCAGCTTTAAACAAGTCTGCCATCTGGGCCATCTCACCAGATTGGGTCCCCTAAACCCCATCTATAAGGAAATCCTGGTGCTGCTACCCTGGGTCCCACTGTTGTTAATGTGGGATGTGGGGCATGGGGCAGCTGGGGAGGGGAACAGTGGGCCCCATCAGCAGGAATTGAGCCCTTCCCTCCTCTCCTTTCTCTGGGGACTGTGTTGGTAGCGCACAAGCCAGGCAGCTTCCTGAAGCCCCCAGCCCCACCGGTGCAGCATGAAGTGCAGGTGCAGGATGGACCCTCGCCAGCGCAGCCTACGATGACCATCAGCCGTTCCCAGAGCCCGCTGCCCCCTGTGGACTGGAGGATGTACACCTCTTCAGGCCGAAAGTTGAGACCCCTTACCCCCTCCTCCCCTAGACCCCACAGTGAGTGGGGAGCAGGGGTAGGGGCCCTCAGAGAGACGGCACCATTCCTGAGGTACAGGGGAGGGACAGGAAAGGACTCTTTCTCCTTTGGAGTCCACCCCATCCCAAGATAAAGGGAGCAGGTCCCTGGCAGTGCCCCTACCCAACAAGACCTCAGGTGTTTGGACCCAAAAAAGCACCTCATACCTGGGATCATCTAGTTACTTCATATGTGCCCCCCACACCACCCATTTCACAGATGAGGAGGTTGAGGCTGAGAAGGCAACAGACTTACCCAAGGTCCTTCTGCTACTTCATGGTAGAGCTGAAGCCAAGACCCCCCCACCCCCCAAGACTGGTGACCTCTGGTTGTCAGACCTCTGGTCTAGGATCGTCCCTCAGAGGATCTGAAGTCACCCCAGGCCTGGACCAGGCTCTCTTTCATCTGCTACACAGGGAACAAGGAAGAATAGACTTAAACAGTGACTGTCATAAGGAGAACTCTTGGGCAGTCATGGAGGACAGGGAGCCTATCTTTCATTCAAAATGAAGTCTAGCCCCTTTGGTGTTCCACCTGGGGAAAGGCCATCCCTTCCCAGAGCTAGACAACTGTAATAGATCACCCTTCCAGCCTGTGAGTCTGCCTTTCCAGCCTTTGATCCTCCCTTTCAGGTGCCAGGAGAGGACTCTCACCTCGTCTCAGAAGCAACTACCAGCTAGGGACAGCCCACCCAGCCTCCAGTCTTCATCCCATAGGGGCCAAGACCCACAGTGTACCTCAAGAAAGAGAGAGAACAGACACCCCACTGAACTCTCCAGGGGAAGGACTCCCATATCTTGGGTTCATAAGGAGACAGATAGCTGGGGAACCCATGCCAGGGCCCCCACTCCCCAGAGACTTCGAGCCCCGGAGGCCACCACCAGAGGGACATCAGCAAGAGGACCATCTCCCCTGCCTCGATCCTCGAGCCCAGCCAAGCCCCTGAGCCTCAGGCTGCCAAGCCAGGATGAGGCTGAGGGTGCTTCTCCCCAGCTCGAGGAACCAGCATCTGTGCATTCTCCATCCTCTATTAAAGGACTCACCAAGATTCCTGTCCAGCTGCCCCCTGCCTGCCCTCCCACATCGGGAAGAAGCTTTCTAGGTACTGCAAGTACAGGTCCCATAACAGAACTGGGGAGAGGCCCCATCCCATCAAGGGCCATCATTGGAGACCTGTCTGGGTCCAGATATGGGGACTGCTCTGTGGAAGTGAGGCAGGGGTACCAGAAGCCAGACATCCAGGTCTCAGTGGAGGCTGGAGAGCCCCAGGGCCTGGGCCCACAGGAGCAGGAGGGGAGGTACACTCCCCTGCCCCTGGGTAGGACCCACGAGCAAGCCATCTATCATACCCTTGAAGAGGAGATTTTGGCCAACATGAAGCTGCTAGAGGTGGGGGGAACCCGTCCCCTGTGCACAGAGTCTGGGGTCATTCCTCGCAGTGGAGTCTATGTCCCCAGCCTGGGTGGGAGGTGGCCTGAGCCTGGAGGTCCTTATGACAAAGTCATCCAAGAACTGGCTCAGGGACGCCCACCCCTCCTTAAAGTGGAACTGGGAGCCTGGAAGGCAGCCTCTACAGGCTCCCCTAAGCCAGCTGTTAACACAGGTCCAGAAAGCCCAAAAGGTAAACTGGGAGCCAGAGAGAGTGGACCAAGGACAAAAGCAGGACTGGGTGCCAAGAGCAACGGGATGAAGGTCCCACCTCAAGGAGGGCAGGACTGCTCAGCCCCTACTGTGTCTGCCAGCCCGGAGGCCCCCACAGCTTCACACTTGGACTTCGGTTCTGACAAAGCCAAGACATGTCAGGTCAAGGGCAAGAGAATACTCCGGAAGCCCCAAAGGGTCCCATCCATCTACAAGCTGAAGCTGAGGCCCAGGATCCGGCCCCGGAAAGATCACAGGCCCGAGAAGCGGCCTTCACGAATCCCCAAGCCTCTGGCTTACCTCCGCCTGGGCCCAGCCAGGGCCGCCCCCAGGGGCAGGCTGCTGAGAGCTGCGCTGTCCAGCAAGGGAGGGGAGCCATGCCGGGTGGAGGGAGCTTCAGCAGGTGAGAAGGAGGGGGAAGAAAAGAAGAAAGAGGCAGCTGCCTCCCTGGAGAGCAACCCCCAGCCTCCGGAGGGCCTGGGGCCTCAGCAGCTTGATGAAGGCCCACTCCCACCTGAGGAGGAGTCCTGGGTCTGAGGAGGGACCTTCTCATCAGGCTCAGGGGAGGAGGGAAGCAAAAAGGATGTCCACGTATCCACTGGACTCCCGGCTGCAGGAACAGGAGGGAAGTTCCCTCACCCCAATACCGGACTCTGGCCAGGAGGGATGAGAAGACAAATATAGACTCAATCTGTTCAGTTGAGCAGAGGCAACCAACCCATCACTCCCACTCTAAATCCGGAGTTAGGCCAGGGGCCGTCCCATAGTTTATTCCCCTCCCTGAGAACAGCTCCCCAAACTCCTGTCCTCTGGCATGCCCCCCATTTCTGCAATTCCTGTAAGTTATTAAACACACGTGGGTCTGTTCTTGAGCCCCCAGCTTCTTGAGCCCCTCGCTCTAGGATTGTGGTGGTGCAGGAAGGTGTAGCTTCCAAGTTATCCCCCTGGAGGGTTTGGGGGTGGGTGAGGGGGAGAAAGCTGGTGGGAGAGGCTTCCTCTTTCCCGCGTCTTTCCTGGAAGCGGCGGGCGGTTCAGCACCACGGACAGGGACAAGGGCCACCCCAACAGGCTGCTGCAGCCACTCTGGCCAAGGACTTCAACGCTTTGCTCTGGGGTTTGGAAGCTGAGATCACTCAGGGTCAAGAGGGATGGCTGAGAGCACTCCTAACACATCAACATCCAAGCAGTTATGTCTGAGAGGCTGCAGTCTCAGCCTCGAGTGAGAAGAAGACACAGAAGAAGCTGGAATTGAATTCTGTTACGAAAACTTTCTAGAGAGAGTGGCAGGCAGAGGTTATGCTTCCTTTCCGGATGGTTTTAATTCGTTGTGGAGTTCAGGGTTAGGTGGAAAAGGGTAAGTCCCAAACTCCTGTCCTTTGATCTCCTGGTTGACATGGCATTGGGACAGGTGCCACCTCATCATCCTCCCCCTCCCTCCACACAGAGCTCAGCAGGCAGGCCCTGTAGGGACCCCTCTCCTCCCACCGTGAGGAACAGAGCCAACACTTTGGTACAGAAACGAGGGAAAACACTCCCTGATTTTTAATCTGACTTCCGATAACAGATCAATGGGCGTCACACACACTTCCAGACCCTGTGGTGGGAAACTCTGGAGGGTGGAGGGGAGGACAGACTCAGAATGGGGGTGGAGGGGCTTGAAACCCAAGACCGGAGTTGAAGTTGAGGGGTGAGGGGGGCCCATCAGGCAATACATTCCAATGGCTCCCACAGGGGGCAGCCAGAGGCCTGTGTCCCCCCACATCAGGTGCCTCAGAGTTGGGAATGATGGGCATGTGAGATGCTGCCATCCCTCACCCCGTCCCCCTGGTGACCCAGGGATGGGGGTGCAGGAGACAAAGGGCAGCAGGCCCTCTTCCTTACCCACCCTGCCACGCTAACGTGTGGAGGAGGGGAGCCACCTCCTCTGTTTCAGAGGGAGGCTCAGAGAGGGTAGGTCACTTGCCCAAAGTCGTGCAGCACAGCAGGGACTAGAACCCACGAACACTGGACTGTCCAAGGTCAGGGCAGTTGGAGGCTCAGAGAGGGTAGGTCACTTGCCCAAAGTCGTGCAGCACAGCAGGGACTAGAACCCGCGAACACTGGACTGTCCAAGGTCAGGGCAGTTGCTGTAGGGCTGCACTACCCCCAGTGGGTGGAGGGAGTGGGAATCAGCTGGGGAAGCAAAAGAGAGAATCGCAGATTCCCTCCCACGTTGGATCTCGATGATAAATTCCCCACCCTCGACCCTTCGCCCAGACTCCTCTCCATCACCACCCTAGGCTACCTGATTTCCTGGTCTATGTGCCGAAGCCTTGGCTAAGTTGGCTGAGGCTGAGTTGTCCCATCTACCCCTCTTCTAACAGGGGACCCTGATATCCTCCCACCAGACCAAGGCTGAGGGCTCAGCCCCAGGAGAGCTTTCTTTGGTCAAGGGGTGGGGACAGGGGACAGGGCACCACTTCTCCCTCCCTCCAAGTCCCCCAGCAATCCCTCAGGCCGTTCCTAGAATCTTCATTATTATTGTTATTTCTGAATCGGTACAAAACTGACAGTGATCAGCTCCGGTGACGAGAGGTAGAAACCCGGCCAAGCAGCCGGAGAAAATGGGGCGAGTGAGTTAGGGCATAGGGCCAACTGGTGTCAGGACAAGGGGTTGTCAGATCCTGAGGGCCTCCATCTATGGGTGGGGATGCAGGCATATCTCCCCAAAGCACAGGGGTCCCAATAATTCCTTTCTTGGCTCTGCTCCTCCCCAGATTGATCAGGGTAATCTGAGATCTGAGGTAGGCAGAGTCTGGGGTAGTCAGACTGGGGTGGGACAGCGAGGCAGAATCTTCACCGGCACAACCTGAACCCCTCCTGGGTACCACCCTGCCCACCACCAGCCCCCAGAACTCGACACCCCCCAGTCTGGCAGACCACCCACTGCAGGAGGGAATAAAGGGCTGGAACCCAGCATCATGGAAAGGAATCTATCCTTTGGGGGATTCCCTTTCCACACTCTGTCAAAAAAAAGGGGGGGGACAAAGTTTTAATCCAGGGAACAACCTGGTTTGGGGGTCAGGAAAAGAGTGAGGGGCACCCAGCAGGGATGGGCCATCGAGTTAAGGCTGGAAGGTAGGTTGTTGTGTCTCTGGGGGCTGCTGGGCAGGGAGGTCTCGCTAGAAGAGGGAGAGCTCAGCCTTCTCCCCCTGACTGATGTGGCACCTTAACCCTCAGACCCCTTGACAGGCATATCTCCCCAAAGCACAGGGGTCCCAATAATTCCTTTCTTGGCTCTGCTCCTCCCCAGATTGATCAGGGTAATCTGAGATCTGAGGTAGGCAGAGTCTGGGGTAGTCAGACTGGGGTGGGACAGCGAGGCAGAATCTTCACCGGCACAACCTGAACCCCTCCTGGGTACCACCCTGCCCACCACCAGCCCCCAGAACTCGACACCCCCCAGTCTGGCAGACCACCCACTGCAGGAGGGAATAAAGGGCTGGAACCCAGCATCATGGAAAGGAATCTATCTTTTGGGGGATTCCCTTTCCACACTCTGTCAAAAAAAAGGGGGGGGGGGACAAAGTTTTAATCCAGGGAACAACCTGGTTTGGGGGTCAGGAAAAGAGTGAGGGGCACCCAGAGGGATGGGCCATCGAGTTAAGGCTGGAAGGTAGGTTGTTGTGTCTCTGGGGGCTGCTGGGCAGGGAGGTCTCGCTGGAAGAGGGAGAGCTCAGCCTTCTCCCCCTGACTGATGTGGCACCTTAACCCTCAGACCCCTTGATGGTGGTCTTTGGGCCACCCGCATCTCTCTGCCCTGTGCCGGTGGTGCTGACGGTCAGGAGGCCTGGCCTCACCAAGAAGCTGCCAGGATCTGCGACAAGGGGGTGGACGAAATGAGAGCCCTGTGCGCGGAGCTGGGGGCGGGAGGGGGTGGAGGGTGGATAAAACAGGTAAGGACCGACAGACGTTTGGGGAAGACAGACACGTAAAAGGAAGACGCGGGTGCAGACAGACACACTCCGGAGAAGACCGGTGGGGGCCCGGCCAAGGCAGCACCTCCTCCCCCCACCCCCCACTGCACACGCTCATCCCCAATCCCAGAAGGCTGTGGCGCCCCTTCGGGCCGGGCCGGGCACTGCACTAACTACAGCACTGAAGGCGGCTGTCCCGGGAGGACAAACGGGGAACCGCGGGGGGGACTGCGCAGTGACTGGGGGCTCCCTCTCACGTGGCCGCGCGGGCGCTGCCGGCCCGGACCACCCGAGTCCTGCTCCTGCCCGCTGCCCGCTCTCGCCCCGCAGTCCCGCGGGGAAGCCGCCCCCGGCGCGGGCCTGCAGGCGGCGGGGCGCA